TACCGGGTTCTATTGGCTTGAAAATATGAGGCAATTTTCGGAATTTTGTGCCTAAATCCATATTCGAGGCCAATTGTCTGGGAATCTAGTGAAGACTGGTGCGTTTCATATGTTTCTTATGTAGTACTACCAGCAATCGCGTTTTTAGCTTGTGGTCCCTCTAGAGGTCCCAATTTTTATCCAGTTGAAAAAATGTTTGAATATTTCACCGTTACACGCTAATCAGACCATAACGGCCTAACAAAATGGCCACCCCTCGTTCGCAAAGAGTGTAAATATATGGTATATCAAGGTTGTGGACCCTCTAGAAGTCACAATTTTGATCTGTTTTTGATGAAACTGAAAAATTGTTAAATTACTGAAAATGCTCTTCTAATTTTTATTTTTTTTCAAAACGGCTCAATAGATGTTTCTGAAACTTCTGGTACAGGAAGTTAAGTCCAACACCATGTGTTAAAACTATCCCGAACGTGATGCGTAAACCGTAATTAGTTGATAAAATATCCGATGTTGTATGATTGCTTCCAGTCTGTTCCCTGAAAGCCGGTTCAGCACTGCCATGCAAGTCTAGTTATTATTACTATTATTTACAATGGGAGCCTATTTCTCAGTAGCTGTAACAGAGACCGATATGGGACCTAATTTTCTATGTGGAAACTAGGTGGTGGTTAGGTGATCAACTATTTTTGAAACTTCTGCGCAGACTGGAAGTGGCCGAATTATGTACGGTGCTCCAAAACTAAAAATCGGCCGAATTTTGTATGGTGCCCCAAAAATAAAAAAACGACAGTAATTTTGTCAATTCTTTACCTATTTTTGTCCCCCCTCTTTCGAAGAAAGCAGGGGACTATTAAAATGTGTTCGTCCGTCTGTCTGTCTGTCCGTCACACTTGGTGTAGTTGTTTGGGGAAAAAAAGTGATTTCTCCTTCTGATATCGACGGATGAAACAAATTAAGGAATCGTTGGGTCAATCAGTGATTGGACTACTGTGTGATACCCAATTTATACAGATACGATGATCAGATCTCAAAATATAGCACGTCGAAAATCAAGTATTTTCTGATTTGGAGCCTTTTTGGACACCTTTATCTCAAAAACTACTGCTGCGATTTTCTTTTTATACTTCCTCTATTGTGAGTCCCTTCAGAGGTATTGTGCATAAAGCAGTTGAATATGACGGCGATATCACGAGAATTGGACGAAAATGGAACTGAAATTAGAAAAAAATCGAAAAATTGTTAATATCTGATTGACTTTAAATTTATACACAGTGTTTAAGGTCATGAGACAAAGAATCCTATTGATTTTCACCGATATTCGATAATTACTGCCAGAGTTATTTCTGATTGTCATGAGACAAAAAGTCTATTGATTTTCATTGATTTCCGATAATTATTACCCTTGATCACTTTGAAAAGTTAATATCCGATTGACTTTAAATTTATACACAGTGTTGAAGGTCATGAGACGAAGAAGCCTATTGATTTTCACCGTTTTCCTATAATTACTGCCAGAGTTATGGCCCTTGATGACTTTGAAAAATCTTGTGGACGTTCTTGAGGCTAAAGTTAATATCCGATTGACTTTAAATTTATACACAGTGTTTTATTGATTTTCACCAAGAGGCTAATGTGAATATCTGATTGACTTTAAATTTATACACAGTGTTTAAGGTCATCAGGTCATGATTTTATATTTATTACCGTGTTTACACATATAAAATCGTTTTGATTGACTTTAGATTGATACACAGAGTTTAAGCTCTTGAGACGAACAAGTATATTGATTTTCAATGAATTTTGATAACTTGAATAGCTAAATCCATGATATTTAATGTTTTGTAGACTAAACGTTAGCATGGGCCAAACAAATTCCAATGATTTTCTGATAATTACTTAATGAGTTGTTACTTTTATTTTAGTCTGTTATAAATGTTTCATTACTGACAAAAGTAAAAATATGCGACAACTCTTGTTGACTGCCCCGACGATTTAGTTCCTGTTGGCGTATGTTTCGTTGCCTGGCAATCCATCTTTTTAAATATTGCCGTAATAAACACAATAACTGTCGTATTTAAACATATGATACATTTTGACATAGTCGAAGATGATGCACATTAAGTTTTTGATTCTTGATGAATCTTGAAGATATTAGGTGGCAGATTTTGAAAATTTAAATTTTTACAGAAAACTTTTTTATTTTTAAATGTTTTTTTTTATGGCGTTTTACCCAGGGTTAAAGAGACATCTGATTTGAGCAAAAATGTGGGCAATTTTGTCTCAAAAATTTTCCTTGGCCGCTATTGGCTAATTCAGTTTATGGGTTCTAGGTTAATTATTTATTGCTCTATTTGTATAAAACAAAGATCATATACTCCATGATGCAAATTCACGATAAAGTTTTCTGTTGGCACCGGAAGTGATGTAATTTTGCTAAAAACAATGATTTTGACAGGTCGTAATGTCTTTTTGCAAGCAAATATTGATTTTTAACAAATCTTAATAGATCAAGATGAATGCCCCTACTAAAGGCGCAAAAAATGTTTTTTTAATTTTGTTTTTTTATTTGCTCCATTTTGATTTAAAGGCAAAAAAAAGTGTAAAAATTAACTATTTACATGCATTCAGGCTTTTCGTAATTTAAAATATTTCTTTGTAACTTTCATAAACTTATAGCATTAATTCATACGAAGACAATGTATGTCAAACTTAGTTTTAATATGAGTAATGAGTCACTTTTCATGTTATTTTGCCTGTAAAAGAGTCAATTATTATTCAATTTTCATAAAAGTGATACCATTTTATGCCTAATGTCACTTTGACAAGGTCAAACCAATTTAACATTTTCACTGTCACCGGAAATGGTGTCATTTTGATAAAAACTGTATTTTCAGCCTTCAAAACAGATATTTTATTCAACTGAGTCGTATTTGTTATTTATTTTATAATCAAGATATTTGATTCCAATCAACAAAAAGAATGAAGCTATACGGTCATATAGATACCACAAAATAGTCTCTAACTTGCTCTGTTGCAGAGAAATAGACGATTTTCTACAAGTCACTTTTCAAGGTTTTTGGTCCATAAAAGTGTCAATTATTATTCGATTTCCATAAATATTTTACCATGTGATGCGTAATGCCATTGATGATTTCATAAAACTAATTTAACATTTTCATTATCACCAGAAGTAATGTCATTTTGGCAAAAACTGTATTTTTAGCCTCCAAAACAAATTTTTTTTTTTTTGATGTGAGTGATATTCATTTTTCGTATAAAATTCTGAAATTTCATTCTAGGGGACCAATAGAATGAATCAATACGACCATATAGATATCAAAAACGTGTTTCTAATATCTTCCCTAGCCGAGAAAAAAGGATCACTTTTTAAGATTTTTTGCACGTAAATAAGGCTTTATATATGGTTAATTTTGTTCAAATTTTAATCAATTTTCTGTTATGCAAAGGACAATCGATGTGGTTATTTCTGTAATACAATTTAAATATTTTGTTGATAACGGAAGTGATGTCATTGTGACGAGTCTTCGTTGAATAAATGGAACTGATATTGCTGGATTTATTAGCTAATTTTATAACGTGTCCTATGCTTTTATGGCAATCTGTTTAATGTTTGCATTATTACGGGAAGTGATGTCAGTTTAAGGATTAAGTAGCACGGGTGAAACCCGTCATTACTGCATTGCAGTTCTAGTTTTTATTTATTATTATAATAATTTATTGTTGGCTTGTTGTTTAATACTATCAATACTAATTTTATTTATCCTTGTCATAAGAAATATCATACTATCAGATGAAAAACTTTGTATTTTAAACAGATGGCATAATTATTTATCCTAGAAGGAATTTCTTTAATTCTGCATAGGGCATATATTATGACTGTATGCTGCATATACGGCTCACATTGAAATGTGGTTGTGTATTGTTGTCACCCCCGTCGGTCCAGCCAATTGATACACAGCGTTGATGGTCATGAGACAAGAAACTCTATTAATTTTCAGAGATTTCCTATTTTTCTATAATTACTGCCAGACTTATGGCCCTCATCTTGTGGACGTTCTAGAGGCCTACATGTAAGTGATCATTCGATTGACATTAAATTAGACAATTGCTTGTGGAGCTCTAGAGGCTAAAGTCATTGTCTTAATTAAAGTGTATACATTTTGTTTAAGGTTATTTTTAAGCATGTCTGATAATTGGTTTTCTGGTCATTACTTCCAGAGAATTTGTTCTTGATAACTTTCAAACAATCTTGTAGATGCTCAAGATTATAATTTATTTTTTGACTGTTTTTGTACTCATCGTGTTTATGTTCATGAAATATAGAAATGTAGAATTACTTTTGGAGTTATTACCCTCAATCACTTTTTAAAATCTTGTAGACCCTGTAGTCCTGTAGTTATTTTCCTAGTGATTAGAAATTAATACATGGTGTTTGTGAGATAAAACCTATTCATTTTCAACTATCTCCGATAACTTGAACAGTTAAATTTATCATCAGTACCTGTACATGTTTTGTATAATAAAATGTTAGAATCTTGAAGGACGAGAGGCCAATCAAATTTTAATTATTTCTGATAATTAGTTAATGGATTGTTTCTCTTGTTTAAATTCTCCAATTGTGGTACCTACAAAACAATAAATATGTGACAACCTGTGTGGACTGCTCTGATGACTAAGCTGCTGTACGATGAGCGTATATTTCATTGCTTGTCTACCTATCTTATATATTATGTAACAAAATGAATTGAGAGTTTGTTGGCAATTTCACCTTATTTAAAGCGGACATTGAATGAACCTATTTCACAAACATTAAACTGAGCCGTACTTTTTCCATTACACTTTCTGATATCCATCCATCTAGCTGTCTCAGTGACAGATCATCAGATGGCTTATTAAGTTATTTCCAGGCATGTTTTCATATTATTAATAATTATGTTGGTTTTTTTTATCATAGTGATGATTGATTATGGTTATTTCAGATTAAATTCAGTGTGCAGTTTCTGAGATTCAAGCTTAAATATATAGCAATGAAAATGATGACAAAAGTCAGATTTATGGTAGAGGTTGAAACACAGAGATTGGAGACAGTGTGTATAATTGGTGATCATGATACTCTAGGAAACTGGAACCCAGATAGATTACTTTCTTTGGACCTTAAAATGAAGTAATTATCATGAATTAAAGTTTGTCAACTTAAGCAGCGCAGGGTACATAAATGTTGGACAAAGTCAGTGGAAAAATTTTCCAGCATATGCTATAAAATTGAGACATTGCATCTCTTTTTGCCACACTAATGACTGTTTCTCAGTATTTATGAAGCTTAAAGATGCCTTTCTGCATACAAACTGGGTGATTTGATGATATCTTTGGACTAAAAACATGTTCAAACTAATTAATCTATCAAAAATTTGCTTCAAATCCCTCTCAAAACATTGAAATCGCGAGGAAATACCCCAAGATGTATCTATGTTTGTCATGTAACTTGATTGAGGAAGGACCCATTTTCAGAATGTATTTGTCGTTAATTACTGCTCATTTGCCATACATATTGAAGCCTAAGTAAATTCTTTGATTCTTTTTCTGCCGTTGAATTGTAGAGTCTGTTGTACGTTTAAACCCCTCAATGTTCCCAGAACTGCCTAACCATTTGATCAAGAAATAACAACCGCTCCCTAAGTCAAGCTGGCAGACAATAAGCTGTTGGGTTGCCATCAGTTAGTCTAATAGTGATACCCTGACATTTTTGCCCAGTCCTTGCCTCATGGGTGTTTAAGTGAATCCGGTATTTTTCTAGTAAGATTGGGCGTCTCTACTTTCCATTACATGTATTCCAAATTTGCCATACTTTTATGGGAAATAACTACCAAATAAATCTTTTCGTGAGAATGTATCTTTAACAAATCAGTTAAAAAAATCAGAAATAATTGAATCTTGGAAAGGCACATGTTCCCCATGACGAAAAGCAGTCATATCACTGTAAAAGTTTTGAAATTTAAATGGGCAAATAAAAGGATTACAAACAAAAGAGATTTATATATTTTATATATAGAACTTAATTAAGGACTGATGGTTTAAATACTTAAGCCCAATTGAGCTCGAATGTTAAATTATTAAAATTGCTGACCTTATCAAATACTTTTAACTGACCTTTTGTGATATCTGTCATTGATTATATCATTTTGTTTACATAGAAATGTATGGTGTGTAGATATTGACCTACCTGCCAATCAAGAGATCAACTACCGATATTGTATAACTGGTCTGCTGGAATCGGCTGATAGGGACGAAAAAGAGGCGATTATCAAACAATGGGAAACAAATATTAATCCAAGAAAAAGCTTCATTACAGGTTTGGGGAATTTATACCTTCTATTTTTCAACGTAGGAAGGGTCTGGACCAGTTGTCCACATTTGAAGTTATTTTACTACCGGTCACAATTTTTATCTGATATTGACGAATCTTGAAATATAGATTTATCTACCAAAGATCTCTGTTCCATTCAATATTCGCGCATATTGGGCCATAACTTCCTGGTCACAGTTTTTATACACCCACATTGGCTAGCCTGGAGATCGATGTTCGATCTCTGCATTGGCTGAGAAAGTTCATCAGGATTTTCCGACGTGGTTTCCACTTGTCAGTGCTCGGGACGGAGGGCCTGACAAGCACAGCTGTCTAGTCATTTGGATGGGACGAAAAACTGAGGTCCTGTGTACACATTGGTGTGCACTTAAAAGAACCGTTGGCAGTTGGAAATTTGATATAAGAGTAGGCAATAGTGCGGCTCCTTGGGCAAAATTTTCCTCATAGCACACTGTATGGCATATGTCCGTCTTCATTAGCCCAGTTGGAGCAGAACAGTAGGACATTAAATCCCATTGCATTTCATTTTATACGCCCACATTGAAATCTAGTTGTATATTGTTGTCGCCCCCGTCCGTCGGTCTGCCGTCCACAATTGCTTGTTTCAGTGTAGAGGCTAAAGTTAATATCCAATTGACTTTAAATTTATATTTAGTATTTACGAAGAACCTTACTGATTTTCAATGATTTCCGATTATTACTACCAGAGTTATGGCCCTTGATTACTCTAAATTTATACACAGTGTTGAAGGTCATAAGACGAAGAATCTTTTCAAAGATTTACGCTATTTACTGCCAGAGTTATTGCCCTTCATATTAAATATTTTGCATACTAAACATTAGCATTACTCGTTATCATATGTTAGTGTGTTATAAATGTTTTCATTACGGACAAAAGAAGAAAAAAATATGCAACAACCCTTGTTGACTGCTCGGAAGACTTAGCTGCTGTGGGCGTATGTTTCATTGCCGGGCAGCTTATCTGTAAGATCTTGGTTCCTTTTGATATTCACTCATATCGGAACTTATCTTCCTTGATTATGGCCCCTGAAGTCACAATTTTTATTTGATTTTAAAAGTTGCTTAAACATATCACGATTACTCCCTATTGATGGTTTAGTTTGAATTTCGGACTAAAACTGCCTGACAAAATTAACATTATCCAGACCATAATAAACTCTTGATGTCAAGGCTAGCCTTCGATGTTGGCTGGATTAGATTCCTATATGCCGCTAACGGCTATTGATAATTAAATCAATAAAAGCGGATAATCGAGACTATGCTGTTTATATTAATGATTTTAGTAATGATGACCGAGACTATGCAAAAATTTCACATGCTTCTTTCTCGGCTCATAGTGGATCAATTTGACTGAAATTTTCAGCAAATTACCTTTACACTATCTAGTTTTTAACTATTATAGCGAGAACTGCCATCTCGTTATCTTTATCCCCAAAATGTATCTTTAAAAAATATTTTTATAGTTCAATGATTAAAATTTCTGACTAAAGCTAAGCAGAGCTAAGCAATTCCATTGGTCGATGCTTTGGGACAAGATAATTTGATTTTATCTGATGCAGAGTGTAGAACGTAGAATATAGTTTCACTACCAGGTACTTCAAAACCTTGACTGAGTTTGATCGTGAACATTTTATGCTTAGACTAAGTATCGATAATCAGTTTGAATTAGATAAATGTGCAATTAATTAATATGTGTCATCTGTTTATTTTGGGATTTCAGTGGGGGATTGTCATCAGCCTAACTGCTGGCTTGTTTATTTTTATGCACCCACATTTTTATGTGGACGTATATTGTTGTCGCCAGTGTCCGGTCAACGGGATGTCCACAATTTGTTTCTGGGCACTCTACAATTTTGATGAAACTTAAAATATAGGTTTATCTCCTAAAGATTTTGATTCCCTTCGATATTGACATGTATCGGACCATAACTTCATGGATTATGGCCACTGATTGTACGAAAAATCCTGTTTTTATCCGGTTTTAAAAGCCGTTTAAATATAACTCCATTACACCATAAAGACGGTTGAGTTTGAATCTTGTGAATATCGGATGGAAACTGCCCGAAAAAAGGGCCGCTCCCTATACCCAAATAGTGTAAAAGTATTAATATCAAGGTTGTAGACCCTCTAGAGGTCACAATTTTTATCCGATTTTTGTCTATCTCTTGCAAAATGTTGGCATATCTTGCTTGGCAACTGCATGTTTTTTCTACTAAAATCACAACAAATTTAAAATAATTCATGGGTTTACAAAATAAAGGTTAGGTACTATTCAATCTGATTAAAACACAGATCCAATTTCGTTTCGTTTTTATAGTTCAAAATTTCGATTTTACTTGTCTTTACTACACTTGGATCTGGAAGCGTTGTTATTTAACTCGTGTTCTGCTTGAAATGAGGGGTCAGCCAATCAAATGGTCTGTCGAATCGAGCATTTGACCTTTTTTGCGCGGAACTGTGAATAGACAAAGCAAAAGTAGATAAAAAATACATGGCGGTCGCTAATTGGTTAATCGAATGACTGACGTAATTGGGTCAAATGTCGCTTGCTTGGTACCTGACGTCATAGAACGTGAACTCCCACTATAACTTGTTGGATCTACATGTAGTGTAGGCCATCGAAAGTATAAAAAATGAAACGAAATATAGATCTATATTTTAATTAGATGGGGTACTATTCTAATTGTCCCAGAGAACAGTTAGCTCGATCAATGTATTGTATTTTTGTAGATGAGAATGATTTACAGATTTTACCTGTAGCTCAGTTTGGTAACTACGGTAAGTATTTCATAAATATTTACTTTTACACTTTAATATACAGTGCAGCCCTGTTATGTCCATATGGCAGTAATCTACAAAGTTATAATTTTTGAGAGAAAATTATTGGCAGTAAACTTGACCAAATTTTTTTGTTTCTGTGAAGACATTGATTAGAACAGTGAAATTTTTGGAACCGATAGCAATATGGGTCTGATTCCCATAATATTTGCACCATAACATTTGATCTGGGACATATTTTTTTCTTGTAGAAAAGGGGGATTGGTTTAACGTGGTGCGTTAGATCACAGGGTCTGTCATTAAGTCAGGTGGCATGGTTATGAGTTGACTGTTCAACATTGTGGGTATTCTCCAGGTCCTCCGGTTTCCTCCAACAGCCAAATACATTATGTTTAAGTGAATTTTTGAGACCGAAATGACCACGTTTGTGTTGAGTGGATGTTAAACTCCATTTCTCTCTCTGTTATTTAAACATACATTATGCAAGAGCTAAATCTGCCAAATGTTATCTAAATTATTAATCAGACATTAATTAACTTATAAATCCAGACCATAATCAACTCTCGATGGCATCGCTAGCCTGCGATATTTACTGGATTATAACCAGCTCTTCTGCTTCTGATTAAATGAAAAAATAGATAATCAAGACTATGTTTTTTTATCCTACCGACTTTAGTAATGATGATCGAGGCGAGGCCCAAACTTCAATCGCTAAATACTCGGTTCACGGTGGATCAATTTGACAGGAATTTTCAGCAAATTCCCTTTACATTATCTAGTTTTTACCTATTATAGTGCGAACTACCAGCTCTTTGTCTAATCTCCCATAATATATCTTTAAATGTTCAACCAAATTTGAGTAATGGATTATCAGACGTACTAGGGAAGAATAGTAAGCTGTTTTTGTTTCTAAACAAACAAGTTTTAGGAAAATAACATACCTACGAATGAAATTTGTTTTGAGCCAGCTTTAATCACCCAGCTTGAAACTGAAACTAATTCTTGTGTAATATTTGTGTGTACAGTATTTTGATCACAAATCGTACTGCTAAATGCTACTAGATAATCTTTGATTATCGAAGGCTATATTTAGCGTATGATGACTTAACATCCAACAAATTACAAAAGAAAAAGCTTAAATTACAATTTTGATATAGAGGAAGCAAACTAACTTATGATTTGATATATATCAGATTGAAGGAGTAAAAGTTGTTATTGTTACATGCGTGTATTATTTCCAAAAAGACTTGGTATGAACTAATCTCAGAGAAAGTATAAACAATATGTAGTGGCATTACAAGCAGAATTACAATTTGTAATCATGATACAAAGACAGATGTTTATTTTAATTACCCATAACTTTTAAATTTTAGTATTTTGTTTATGACTTCTAAAGGAATATGAAATATGGTTTTCATGATATTCAAATATTTCATGTGGAAATTTCCAGAATCTCAATTGATTTTCAGTTCCAGTTGGTGCATTTTATCTTTTTACATAGAGAGTTATTTGTTTCTACAATAAACTTTATGAGATTATGATATGTGCCCTTGAATTTATTGTTTTAATTTACTTTCTTATATTTGAGTGTGATAGAATGGACACAAAAATCTGAATTTAATAACAAATTTGTCTAAAAATACGGAGATTGAAAAAAAAAAAAATCCTGAATTAATTCCCCCTGACAATTAGATTTGTATACAATATACTTTATAATTATTATCCCACGCCAAACGAAGTTAGGGAGGGATATTGAAATGGGGTCCGTCTGTCCTTCCCTCCGTCTGTGGGTCCCAATTTCATTCACGGCGCATATCTCATAAACCATTCAAGATATCTTTCTGAAACTTTGTACACACATCTACCCATTACGATAGTGTGCCTTTTGAAATTTAGGAATTTCTGGGATTTATATTTTTTGTGTTTCCATGGAAACAAATTTGACTTAGTTTTTGGTGTGCAATTTCGTTTCAGGAGCATATCTCATAAACCATTCAGGATGTCTTCATGAAACTTTGTACAAACATTAACCTATTATAGTAGTTGTGCCTTTTACTATTTAGGAATTTTTGCGATTTATATTTTTTGTGTTTCCATGGAATCAAATTTTACTTAATTTTTGGTGTGCAATTTTGTTTCCGGAGCATGTCTCATAAACCATTCAAGATATCTTCATGACACTTTGTACAAACATTAACCTATTATAGTAGTTGTGCCTTTTGCTATTTAAGAATTTCTGGGATTTATATTTTTTGTGTTTCCATGGAAACAAATTTGACTTAGTTTTTGGTGTACAATTTTGTTTCTGGAGCATGTCTCATAAACCATTCAAGATATCTTCATGAAACTTTTTACAAATTTTTAGACTATTATAGTAGTTGTGTCTTTGGAATTTCTGGGATTTAATAATTTTTGTGTTTCCATGGAAACAAATTTGACTTAGTTTTTGGTGTACAATTTTGTTTCTGGAGGATGTCTCTCCATTCAAGATATCTTCATGAAACTTTTTACAAACATTGGCCTATTATAGTAGTTGTGTCTTTGGAATTTCTGGGATTTAATAATTTTTGTGTTTCCTTGAAAACAAATTTGACTTAGTTTTTGGTGTTCAATTTTGTTTCTGAAGCATAAACCATTCAAGTTATCTTCGTGAAACTTTGTACAAACATCAACCTATTAAAGTAGTTGTGCCTTTTGCTAATTTGGAATTTCTTGGATTTAATCATTTTTGTGTTTCCATGGAAACAAATTTGACTTATGTTTTATGTACAATTTTGTTTCCGGAGCATTTCTCATAAATCGATCAAAATATCTTTTTGAAACTTTTTACACACATCATCCTTATTACAGTAGTTGTGCCTTTAGCTATTTTGTTGGATTTAATAACTTTCGTGTTTCCACTGAAACAAATTTTTTACTACAGAATTTTTACTGCACATTTGAATTAGTTTTTGGTGTATAATTATTATTCGTGTTTCAATTGAAACAAAATTTTTACTACACATTTGAATTAGTTTTTGGTGTATAATTATTATTCTAGAGCACATCTCAGAAACTGGTCAAGATACCTTTATAACACTTTTACATTCATCAACATATTTAAAATGTTTAAAGTTGCAATTTCATATTTTTATGTTCTATTTTTAAAATTTATTAAAATAAAGCCTTAAAATATATGGTATCTATAAACAGTCCTACCTTGTTAAAGAATAATCCTATTAATCCTATAATTCACTATTGCCAGTTGAGAAATTGGCAAAAATATCATTTTTAACTTCAAATTCAAACGTTTGAAGAAAGCTATTCCATGGGGGAGAATTGAAAAACAAGGGAGGTAATTGTGTTATTATTTCCGGGGTCAAAGGATTTTTAAGAGGGAGAATAATACCTATGATCGTATAATAGTGAGTTGACAACCTATTGAGCAAAAGACATAGAAATAATTATGTTTTGACTTTCTTAGAAAATATGAAATTATCGCTTTAAATATTGAATATCAGAAGCCCATCTTTTCCCAGTAAGATCACAACATCAATGTTGATTTATATTGACAAATAATTCGTGTTTTCAATGTCGAAGACTTGGGATGATATGGAGTTAGAGACTTACCTACTTTAAGTGTCATCATTGAAAGTCAGCATTTCTTTGTGATAATGATACCAGACATTGATGGTTCTTGAATTATTTTCTTTTCAGAATTTTGGACCTTTGCTAATCTGTGTGTTCCAGCAATTCCACTATGTTCTTCTGACAAAAAAAACATCTTGATTCCAGAAAGCAGCAATAGATGTGAAAAAGTGTAAGCTTCAACCAGTTGTGGATGCATTTACTAAATGATTTGTTTGAATTTGGCACTATGCTGATGGTTGCGGATTGCTAATGGTGTTCCAGATATTTTGGTTCACTGCACTTTTCATATATTAAGTTGTGATGTATATCTTTCAGATGGTTACCATAATACGACATCTGGATGGCTCTCAACACAAACCTATGTGCAGCTGAGACTACAAGGAAACCCTATTCATATACATAAAGCTCGGCATCAACACCAAACATTGCACGTGAAATGTGTACCACAGGATTATCGGCCTAAAAACGTATTAACCAGTTCAGTTATTTACATCATGTAGCCCTAAACTAAAAATCTTCTTACACAACTAAGTATTTTTTTTGGTGTTTTATTTTTCGTTTTCTCTCAGTGTTTTTTTACACCCACTTTTGGAGATGGTTGTATATTGCCTTAACACTAAATTTCTTTCTTAGCACAGCACAATAGAGGCTAAAATAGTCCAAATATCTTTTTTGGAATATATGGGTATCTTTCCCTATGAAATTAGGAACCTTATTGAATTTCAGCATGTCGTTGCCCTGGTCCGACTGTCTGACATCCACAATGGACACTCTAGAGGCTAATGTTAATATCCGATTGACATGAAATTTTGACACACTGTTCAAGGTCATGAGACAAAGAAGCTTATTGATTTTCAACGATTTCCGTTAAGTACTAGTGGACACTCTATAGGCTTAAGTTAAAATCCACTGTGTTTATGGTCATGAGACAAAGAATCCCATTGATTTTCAATGATTTCTGATAATTACTGCCAGAGTAATGGGTCTTGGTCACTTTGGAAAATCTTGTGGATGCTCAAGAAGTTCAAATTAATATCAAATTGACTTTAAATTTATACACAGTGTTTAAGGTTATGAGACGAAGAAGCGTTATGGCCGTTGATCACTTTGAAAATTCTAATGACTTCTGATAATTACTCTGATTGTTACTCTCTATCAGATTTTAGTGGGTTGGAAATGCGTTCATTACTGACAAATGTAAAAATATGTGACACCTCTTGTTGACTGCCTAGACGATTTAGCTGCCGTTTGCATATGTTTCGTTCCCTGGCAACCTATCTTTTTTATATCACCACTCAGCAAATAAATTTTGGTGTTAGTACTTTAAAATAAGAAATTATTGGAATCTGTCTTTTAGGTAAAGGGAAAGGGAGGAGGGGGGTGGAATGAAAATGTGAGTTTAATATAATTCTTTGGTTACGATATTTAAACAATCTCCACATTAATTTCTTGTCTGCGATATCACCTCGGTGGAAGCGGACGTAAAATACAACTAACCCATCATCATAATTTCTTGCATTCAACACTGTAATACTTACGAATCGATCTAACCTTGTCTTGTTCCTTCCCTGGATATTTTTATAGCTCTCTTAAAGTTGTCAGCAATCAAAATAGCTATTAAAAAATCCAAGTAAAGATTTGTATGAAACTGAATTTAAACCTACTAATATATAACAATATCTAACTTGAATTGTGAGTATCAGCTAACACTATTTAAATTGATATTTATAAGAAATACTAGTTAGTTTTGTTATCAAATATTATTCTGAGTATATTGTTTATCATGTTGGTCAATATTACCTTCTCCTTTTTGACCTGCAAACCAAATTCAAATCAAATTTATCAGTGTTGGAGGATTGATGATTTTTGTTTTGATTTTCGTATTTATAATATAAATAATATCATTGCTTCTTTACATATAATATAAATTAATTATAATGGTTACCATGCTTTTTTGCGGCTTTATAATAATTTTAAATAATAAGAACAAATCAGAAAACAACTCACTTTTATTGTTTATTCCTTTATTTGTTTTTAATTTATAGGCTCACATTTTATAGTATGAAGTAAAAGTAGTCATATATTGTTTTCAGTCCTTCTGGCTGTTTGTCAGTGCATCCAAAATTCAGAGTAACCTGTTGCCACGTTTACTCTCTCTGAGAGTTTTTACCCTTATCATCAAAATCGTGTTAACAGAGTTTTTGAGATTTTACTTTTCAAACTTGCTTTGAATATCATGCAAATGAACCCTAATAAGTTTTTCATGTCAATTATTCGCATTGTTATTGCCCTCTCATAGATGACTTGATGAAAACGCTTTTGTTACAGTTTTTGCGTTTTATGTAGACAAAATGCTGATTTAAATATAAAGTTACAATCCTTGTCGTCAAAGCCATGTGAACACTCTACAAATCAAAGTTTCAGGATATTTTCTCCACACTTAAAATACTCACAATACCTTCATGATAAGCTGTAACAACCTTGAAATTCCAGTCAATAACTTAGATTGTGTTAATGCCATTTTCAGGTGGATATTAATGAAGATAGTAATGAAGGCCCACAGTCTTGTTCAATTAACGATGTTCAAATATCTGTAAGTAAATATACAACTTTTACACCTCTCGGAACACCTATGTGCTCCAACTACAATGGATATTAGTCTGAACAAATAGCATTAATTTTCTATGCAGTTAACTCATCGAGGTAACTTTACATGTTTTGATTGGTTGAGAAGAAGAATGACCTTCATCTTGTGTTTGGAAAATGTAAAGTACCGGTATATTCCGAAACTGGTAAATTGAGACAGTATTCCTTTTGGGTGAACTTACACAGTTTTTTTTATACACCAATATTCATTTTGTCGAAGCAGAAGTAATTTAAGCTGGAGCAATTGAGACAAGTGCACTATTAATATATACAACTTAAAAGCCAGAAAATAAGTGGCTGAGTTGAGTTCATATTTAGGCTTCTGTCAAGCGCAAATTTTCTTATTTAGTGTGTTCGATGTTTTTAGTGGTTATACACAGTTGAATATATCAGATTTAGATGATATTTAGGTAGAACTAAATCACTATTTCCATGCCATATATACGTCATGGACCTGTTCTAGACTTGTTCAATATATAATTGTAGAACGTCTATTGTTCTTCTATACAGTTACACGACCATCATGAATAGAAATGGCATTTGCCGGTTTGTACTGATCGTGAGTTTCAGCAGTTAGTAAAAAATATTGTTGTATTTGAATAGATTGGGAAAATATACCTATTTTGCCATGTGTAAATTTGCAGATAGGTTCTGACCATGTTTGTTTAATCTAAACTAGGGCAGCCCAAAGCTGAGTCGGGGAGTGACATAGGCTTGGTATGGTTGCAATACCACTTCTGGTTTTGGAGTTATACTACTTCCAGCTTTACGAAGCTCATATATGATTATTATACCTGACTTGCTATCGACCATCAACCGACCTGTGACACCTTGAGCAAGGAAATAGAATGATCTGTTAGTTTATTTTCCATTGTCCAGTAACTATCTTATTATTGTAGGTGTTGCGAGAGGATGGTTGTAAACCACATGAACAAAATCAGTTTGGTGAAGCCTATCAACCAGATGATTTTATGGTATTTACGACTAATACTTTACATCCTGAAACATTGGTAAGACTCTTTTATTTATAGCAGTGTTAATGGTAAGGGCTACGATATTGGGAAATATATTTTTTGGGTTAAGAGTGTAGTAACATTGGATTCCTTTATTACAGGGTTTTCAGTTAGAATTTTATATACAGGATACCTCTAATGGATATATGGAACCACAATATATTGGTTACACTCATATATTACCTCTAAATACAAAACATACCCTTGAAGAAAAACATCTACCTCTTATGAGTTTAAAACATAAACCAATTGGAAAAATCGCAAGTAAGTACTGGTAGTGAGGATTGTTAGATTTATCATTAAAGATTGGGTTCTCTCAAATATATTAAACTTGTAGACTGGACACTCTAGAGGCTAAAGTTAATATCCGATTGACTTTAAGTTTATACACAGTGTTTAAGGTCATGAGACGAAGAAGATTATTGATTTTCAATGATTACCAGTAATTGCTGCCAAAGTAATAATGGCCCTTGATCACTTTGAAAAATCTTGTGAACGCTCTAGAGGCTAAAGTTAATATCCGATTGACTTTAAACTTATGCACAGTGTTTAAGTTCATGAGACGAAGAAGCCTATTGATTTTTAACTATTTCCGATAATTACTGCCAGAGTTGTGGCCCTTGACCCCTTTGAAAAATCCTGTAGAAGATCTATAATCTAAAGTTAAGAACTGATTGACTTTAGATTTATATACAGTGTTTAAGGTCATGAGATGAAGAAGCCTGTCAATTTTCAATGATTTCCAATGATTATGGAAATTGATATTAAATGTTTTGTATGCTAAATGTTTGAATAAGGCAGAACTAGAACCCAAATGGATTGTTACTTCTAATCAGATTTTAGTGTGTTGTAAATGTTTTCATTTCTGACAAAAGAAAAAAAAAATGCAACAACCCGGACAACTTAGCTGCTGTGGGCGTATGTTTTGTTACCTGGCAACCTATATTTAGAATGGCATTTGCACAGTAAAGGGATAAAACATAGCAATCAACTTGGACATGTTGTAAATAGAAATGTATGTATATTTGTTATGTCTTTGTTATTGTTCCTAATTCATATATGGTTGGGGAGACAGAAAAGACAATATAAAATACCTGTATGAAAATTATATATTATTTTTTCTCAAAAAAAAGTTTGAAACCCAAATAATTTGGATAGAGCCAAACTCCTGAAAACTAGTACCTATTGGATAAGGATTTGGATTTCCAACAAAACTTTAGTGTATGTTTGGATAAAATTGTTCTATAATGATTAAATGCTGAATTAGGACAACACCACAATCTCTAGGGGCTGTAAAAATAAACAATATCTTTTCTTCAGTTTTCTAATATTTGTCCCCCGCCTTTCGACGAAAGCAGGGGATTATTGAAATGGGTTTGTCTGTCTGTCTGTCTGATTGGTTGATGCTTTGGGACACGATGACTTTAGTTCTAATTAAGTGAGAGTGATGAAACTTGGTGTATAGTTTCATTACATCAATACCTTGACTAAATTCGATAATGAGCATTTTCTGCTCAGTGTAAGCGGAGCGTTAAGCAGTTTGATTGGCCAAGACTTTGGAACACAATAACTCTCCTTCTGATTGAGCTAGAATGTTCAAACTTGGTGTAGGTGTTAAGTGGGTCAATGCCTTGATGGAGTTCAAAGTTGAGCATTTTCTGCTTAGGTTAAGCAGAGATAAGCAATTTGATTGGTTGATTCTTTGGGACACGATAACTTTAGTTCTAATTAAGTGAGAGTGAAGACACTTGATGTATAGCATTATTACATCAATACCTTGACTAAGTTCGATAATGAACATTTTCTACTGAGGGTAAGCAGAGCGATAATCAATTTAGATGGTTGAGACGAAGGAACACAATAACTCTCCTTCTAATTGAGGTAGAATGTTCAAACTTGGCGTAGGTGTTTATTGGGTCAATGCCTTGACTGAGTTCAATGATTAACATTTCGAGCTGAAACTAATAAGCAGAGCTAATCAATTTCATTGGTCGATGCTTTGGGACAAGATAATCTTGATTCTATTTGATAGAGAGTGATGAAACTTAGTGTATAGTTTGATTGCTGGATACTTTTGAATAAAATAAATGTGCGATTAATTAATATGTGTCAGCTATTTATTTTGGGATTTCAGCGGGGGACATCAGCCTCACTGTTGGCTTGTTTTTTCCCATTTTCCATCTGAGATGACAATGTAACACTTGACATTTTGTATAGAGTCTAAGCATTGATATTTTACAATAATTCCAGTCACATTGATAAAATTGGCCATAAAGTATGTCTTACACCAAATTTCCATCCAATATAGCGAACAAAAACCAGCATTTATTTTGCTGAAAGCTTGACAACAGATTATTTTGTTATTTGTTTGTTTAATACATAATTCACAGATTGAATAAGAATTATTGTAAATAATTTAATCAAGAAAATAAATGTTGTAGATATATAACAGTTGTTATTTTCCATTCAAGTTATGCCAATTGATAATTCATCTATAATTTTAAAAGTAATGGTAATAAACAGTCCATTCAAAGTTATTATAAGGTGGAAATGACATAGTATTAACTTAAAAAAAACCTCCAACAGTCATTTCTAAACCTTAAATGGTCATTATTTATCATGCAATATCTGTGGTTCTTTTTTGCTATCTCTGGGTACTGTTACGTAAACACTCATATGAAGGAGCAAACCAGCTAAGCTATCCCAATGTATGAATTTTTATACGCCCACATTTTCATGTGGACGTATATTGTCATCGCCCCTGTCCGTCCATCCGTCCACAATTGTTTGTGAACAGTCTACAGGTCACAATTTTTATCCGATTTCAACGAAACTTGAAATATAGGTTTATCACCCTAAGATCTCGGTTCCTTTCGATATTGGCATGTATCGGACTGTAACTTCATGGATTATGGCCCCTGATTGTACGAAAAATCACATTTTTAGCTTGTGAACACTTTAGAGGTTACAATTTTTATCCGATTTGGTTTAAACTTGAAATGTATGCTTATAACCCAAAGATCTCGGTTCCTTTCGATATTCGCGCATATCGGACTGTAACTTCCTGAATTATGGCCCCTGATTGTACGAAAAATTGTGTTTTTAGCTTGTGGACCGTATAGTGGTCATAATTTTTATCCGATTTAAAAAATCGTATTCTTATATCACCGTTACACCCTAAGGACGATTGAGTCCGAATTTCGTGAAAATCGGGCCAAAACTGACAGACAAACTAGCCGTTCGTTCTCATATAGCGTAAAAATATGGTATATCAAGGCTGTGGACCCTATAGTTCGAATTTCGTGAAAATCGCCCCAAACTGACAGATAAAATGGCCGTCCTTCGTTCTCAAATAGCGTAAAAATATGGTATATCAAGGTTGTGGACCCTATAGAGGTCACAATTTTAATCCTATTTTGATGAAACTTGACATGTAAGTTTATAACCCAAAGATCTCGGTTCTTTTCGATATTTGCACATATCGGACCTTAACTTCCTAAATTATGGCCCCTGATTGTACGAAAAATCACGTTTTTAGCTTGTGGAGCCAATAGAGGTCATAATTTTTATCCGATTTAAAAAAACGTATTATTATATCACCGTTACACCCTAAGGACGGCTGAGTTCTAATTTCGTGAAAATCGGCCCAAAACTGACAGATAAAATGGCCGTCCTTCGTTCTCAAATAGCGTAAAAATATGGTATATCAAGGTTGTGGACCCTATAGAGGTCACAATTTTAATCCTATTTTGATCATATCATATTTGTTCATATCGGAACATAACTTACTGAATTATGGCACCCGATTGTACGAAAAATTGCGTTTTTAGCTTGTGGACCCTATAGAGGTCATAATTTTTATCCAATTTAAAAAAACATATTATTATATCACCGTTACACCCTAAGGACGACTGAGTTCGAATTTCGTGAAAATAGGCCCAAAACTAACAGACAAAATGTCCGCCCTTCGTTCTCAAATAGCGTAAAAATATGGTATATCAAGGTTGTGGATCCTATAGAGGTCACAATTTCTATCCGATTTTGTTGAAACTTTCGATATTTGCGCATATCGAATTGTAATTTCCTGAATTATGCCCCTTGATTGTAGGAAAAATCACTTTCGTTTTAGCTTGTTTTCTATCCATCTCTCGAAAATGTGGGCGTATCCTGCCTGGCAGCCGCTGGTAAATTCATTAAATGGTCCCTTGGTATGAATCAAAATAGATAAATGGCATATTATTACATTTCTTTTAATCTTCCTGGTGGAAGTAATATGTCCCATTACTGTGCAAAGAGCCAGTCTTTGTATGAATCCAATTTTGAAAATCAAGTACCACCAATTACTGTGGTACCGGACCTTAATATGACATCATCCCAGCCATTGTTAATCAATGCTGCACAGTTTCTTGTTGAGTCTATATTTTCATGTCAAAATGTCATAGGCAACACCTTGCCTTTATTAATATTATTTTTATTTACAGTTCATTTTATGATTGCCAAACCAGTTAAGAACATTAAATTCAACATGGAATCTTGTTTTCAAAGTCATTGGAAATTTCTTGGTGTGTCTTTGGATGTCGGCCATAGAGGCATGGGTTCATCTTATAAAAAGTAAGTATTTTGAGCTATGAAATATCAGTTCTGCTTCCATTTTATTATACACCTATATTTAATTTGTCGGTTGCCATTCCCGAAATGCCCAACTGGATATATTTGATCTGTGCAAAGGAGAATTTCCCAAATTTGATTTTAACATATTTCTTAACCATTATGGTAATGTATGGATTTTTCAAACAGGACAGGTTATGGTATGGCATCGATGTGTACATCAGTCTGTAATCATCTAGGGTTTGCGACTTTGTGAAATCAAGAATTCTTTGTTAATTTTATAAAACTATTTTTTTCTTGTAGGCTAGCTCTTGTTAGAGAGAATACAGTTGCCTCCCTTTCAGCAGCAGCACAGAATGTAAGTTATTAAAAAATAAGATTGATGATTGCATTTTATTTATTGACTGTTCAACAGTTGACAGTTAAGCCAATAGTGAAACTAAAATTAATAAACAAACCAACTCCCGCTCAGTTTTCTTAAATGAGAATTTAAAATAATGGGGAGTGTTGAGCTTGTATATGTATGGGCTATTAAATTAGTCTTGTGGAAAATGATTATCAACAAAATAAAAGTGTAGAATTAATCATTCTTTATGTTCTTCAGGGTGCTGATTTAGTAGAATTTGATGTAATGTTAACAAAAGATTTACATACTGTTGTTTATCATGATTTTGAAGTATGCCTTACATATAGCAAGGTAGGTTAATAAAACAGGTTAGAATAAAGAATAATACATTAAAGCCTCAATATGGGGCCAATAATCATTTGCCTTACTTAAATTTGTAAAAAATAAGGACTTAATTGTATTCTTTAAATAGTAATCTAATAAACGTCCGTCTGTCTGTCCACAATTTGTTTGTGGACACTCTACAGGTCACAATTTTTATCTGATTTTGACGAAATTTGAAATATAGGTTTATCTCCAAAAGATCTCGGTTCCTTTTGATATTGGCATGTATCGGATCGAAACTTAATTGGATTATGGCCCCTGATTGTACGAAAAATCACGTTTTTAGCTTGTGGACACTCTAGAGGTAATAATTTTCATCCGATTTTTAAGAAACTTGAAATGCATGTTTATAACCCCAAGATCTTGGTTCCTTTCGATATTCACGCATATCAGATCGTAACTTCCTGAATTATGGCCCCTGATTGTACAAAATGGCCATCCCTGGTACGCAAATAGTGTAAATATATGGAGTATCAAGGTTGTGGACCCACTAGAAGTCACAATTTTGATCCTGTATTGATGAAACTTGAAATACATCTATAACCGAAAGATCTTGGTTCCTGTCGATAGTCGTGCATATCGGATCGTAACTTCCTGAATTATGGCCCTTGATTGTTCAAAAAATCGCTTTGTGTTTAGCTTGTTCTCTATCCATCTCTTGCAAAATGTGGGCGTATCCTGCATGGCAGCCACTGGTTTTCGTTTTAGATGAAATGGTAAGATTGCCACACACTAAATTTGTCCATAAGCTCGATATACTTTTGGGGTGGGTAAGGGGTGGATGGTCGATTGGACGGCATGCACGCGTTGTATCATAAGGTCTGTCATTGAGTCAACTGGCGTGGTTTCGATTCCCCGGTTGTACGTGACAAGGAGTAGGGTCGTCTGTTCAACCTCATGGGTTTTCTCCACGTCCTCCGGTTTCCTTCCACTGCTAAAGACCCTTACGCGCAAGCGAATTATTGAAATGAAATTGAACCATATGTTAGCCTCCAAATGACCTTGTTTGTGTTGAGTGGACATTAAACCCCATTTCTTCCTCTCTTTTTCTGGATACACTATTGAAAGCACCGTTTTCTCTGCTATCAGACCTATTCTAGAGAGGAGGCTCCTCACTTTGTCCGGCTCTGGGCCCCCCATACTGTCCCTAGGTTTTACATAGGCTAAGTCAATTTCCCATTCCCGTTTCCATTCAGATCTAAATAAAAAATTGTTCATTAAAAAAACATTAAAAAAACATCTAATCGTTTAGATGAGATACCATCTGGAGCTTGTTGTTATCCCCCGCCTTTCGAGGAAAGCAGGCGACTATTAAAATGGGTTCGTCCATCTGTCTGTCTGTCCGTCTGTCTGTCACACTTTTGGGACATAATAACTCTCCTTCTAATTGAGCAACAATGTTCACACTTGGTGTGTGTTTATTAGCTGAATGCCTTGATGGAGTTCGAAAATGAGAATTTTCTGCTAAGGGTTGGTCCATTGGTGGATGCTTTGGGACACGATAACATTAGTTCTAATTAAGTGAGAGTGATGAAACTTGGTGTATAGTTTCATCACATCAATACCTTGAATAAGTTCGATAATGAGGGTAAGCAGAGCAATAAGCAATTTGTTTGGTTGAGACTTTGAAACACAATAACTCTCCTTCTAATTAAGGTAGTATGTTCAAACTTGGTGTAGGCATTCATTAGGTGAATTACTTGAGTTGGATGATGAACATTGTCTGCTTACGGCAGTGGTTCTCAACCTTTCTTTGCCAACGGCACACCTTGGCACACATGAAAAAATTGTGGCATACCTGGCTAAATATATATGAAAAATATTTGAATTTTTCAAAATAAAAACATGACAGCATTCAACCATAGACACAGACTAGCTAGTCATAGACACATAGAATGACTCAAACTAAGTATAGACCAACACAGCTATGAACTTACTTTATTGCCGTGTTTCTAATTTCATCAGTCAAATAGCTGGCTTCTTTAGTGCCAAGGCACACTGGTTGAGAATCACTGGCTTACAGTAAGCAGAGATAAGCAGTTTGATTGGTTGATGCTTTTGGGCACGATAACTTTGGTTATAATTAAGTGAGAGCTATGAAATTCCGAGTATAGATTCCTTGACATAATAAGAATTTTCTGCCTAGGCTAAGGAGCGATAAGCAATTTGATTGGTCAGGACTTTGGAAATAACAGCTCTGCTTTTAGTTGAGGTAGAATGTTTAAACTTGATGTTGATATTCATTAGGTGAATGTCTTGACTGAGTTCAATAATTAACATTTCCTGCTAAAGCTAAGCAGAGATAAACAATTTATTTGACTTTGATTCTATCTGATAGAGAGTGATGAAACTTAAAGTTGATAATCAGTTTAATTGCTCAATACTTTTGAAAAAGATAAACGTGCAATTAATTAATATGTGACATCTATTTATTTCCTGGATTTCGGCGTGGGACATCAGCCTCACTGTTGGCTTGTTCATGGATGGAAATGAAAAACATGGGAGCATGAAATCATTAAATGGCCATTACTTTCATAAGGATCAATCTATTTGAACAATTTTTGGACAATGTGCTTTATAGTAAAACTACTTTTTATTGTATATATGCTCTGAAAGTATAATATAGTGTTTAGTCTGGATTATTGTGTTAATACATTATTTGGAAAATCAATCATTGCTTATCTATGATATACATGTATCTGTATGTATTTTTGTTTTACAGAAACGAAATGACGATTCTGGTTCTAAATTGTTAATTGTTCCAGTCAAAGATTTAACTTTGGAACAACTGCAAAGCATGAAAGTAAGTTTAAATAAATCAGTATCAAGCTTTTGAAGAAAAGATAACTCCTTTATAATAAATGTGGGATATTATTGATCAAAAGAAAATACAAAAATCAAACTACCATTTTTATCCAAAAACTGTTAATAATCAAAAATTAAATATTTTATCCTAACAAATTGCAGAATTGAAATAAAGAAAACATCAAAGTATGCTTAGAATATTTTCTTTATTTTACAGTTATCTCATGCATCATCAAGGCTCGGAGAACAAATAGGTATGCTAATTTACTTAAAATAAACTTTCTTGTATGTTTCCACAGTTTGCGAAAGCAACAATTTGTTATGATTAAGATGGCTTGCCTAAAAATAATGAATATATTTCTTTTATGCAGACAAAGGTCATATATCTCTATTCATTGGGATGAGACAAAAATTTATGTACAAATTGATGATGCATCTAAAATATCCCTTGATAAGTGTTGTTTCACAAGCAATTGTAATAAGTATTATCAGCATATTACCACTTTTAGAACATTTAAGGGTGATTGTTTCCATTAGATACCATGCCAACTAATCAAAATCATTGATACTGATATATTTACAACGTACTTTATAAATGAGAGATCTGAATAAAATAGATATATTTTTTTTCAGTAAATACAATTCCTTTCAATAAAAATGTAAAAAAACAACAGGAAATTGATTTCACGGTGTGTACTTTTACATAAATAAATACATTTTGGGGGGCAATTGTCCTATGGGGGCAGTTTTCTGGCTCCCAATGACATTATAGACAAAACCAATCTGATGAGAAAATTCTAGTGTTGTTGGGTTGCCTGCCCATTCTCATTGCTTATCTTCTGCCAAAGACATCTGCACTCAAACCAATTATTTCAAAATGAGATCAGTAGATGTTGAGGAAGTTAAACTCCTCTCTCTCTCTCTCTCTCTCTCTCTCTCTCCTTGTTATGAATTGCAGATAAATATGTGTAGGTTACAATGATAATATATTTTATGTTTCTTTCTGTTTAAGATTTAAATGGTGAAGACTTTCATCCTGCTGATGCACAGCCCTTTCCAACTCTACAACAATGTTTCCATGGTGTGGATGAAAGCCTAGGTTTTAATATAGAAATCAAATTTCCACTTCAAGATGAGGTTAGTCTTTTATCATTCTTCAAGTGATCAGATGCAGAAGAGCCCCTAACTTTCGGCAAATCTTACATTTCAGTCAGACGGGTAAAGTGAAAACAAAGTGCCCAAAATCTAATGAAACACTAATTTTACTTTTCTTTTAATTGAATACGACGAATTTATACTGAATTTACTATGGATTAAATCATTTTGTCTGGAGCCACTCAACTTTGCGGGAATTGTTTTGGGCATGGAATATTATTTGTGAATGCAGCTCCAACAATCTGATTGGATGGTTGGAATTTAGGTCGGCATAGAGTGGGATTTCGGTTACAAAATTATTGGACAACTTTGAAGTTGCTTAACTCACGGGCTAAAATAGCAGAAAAACGTATTTGCGGCAGTTTAAATTTTCAAAATTTTCTTCAGGAGGGCAATGCCCCCATATCCCGTGATGATTGATTGGTTGTGTGGATTCAGATCAGCCACCTAAGTTGGGCCATATTGGTCCACATTGAAGTTGTTGTATTCACGGGCTGGAATAACAGCTTTCTGCCATCTCTCCCGTCTCAGTGGACTGATTTGGATTCGAGTCAGCCACCTTAATTAGGCTATATTAGACCACTTTGAAGTTGTATTCACGGGCTGAAATAGCAGGGGGAATGGGGGAGGGGCCTCTTGAGGGTACTTACACAGTAAGCCCCGCTCCTTCACCGCTTGCAGAGGACCTGCAACCCGAAATTTTTTTGCCCATATCGGGTTGTAAACCCCTAACAGTTATCGAGCCCGGACACCTATGTTTGGGCTTACCATTATATAACATGAAATTACCAGCACAGATTTATAAGTATTTAACTGTTTTAGACTGGTGTATGGGAAATGGAGGGATTTATGGATCATAATACGTATGTAGATATTTTACTACAAGCTGTATTTAAAGACTGTGGTTCTAGAAGAATTATTTTTTCCAGTTTTGATCCGGAATGTTGCATACTGTGAGTACATTAACATCCAATTTTTCATATGAGGTTTACCATATTATTTATGTATTTTCGGGCGTAGGCTTGCTGAATGATCTTGGATTAGCTTCAATTTGACGATTTCTTCTTTTGCAATTTGACTCCTGTTTCAGTAAAATGTCAACAAAAGCTTTGCTGGATTGAACAGAATTTTCATTGTCAATTTGCGATTGGTTAACAAACATTTTTAAAAGAATCACAAATTTTCTTGCTATGAAATGTCAACACAATCCTAGCAGAATTTAATGAAATTTTGATTGGTTAAGAAACATTTTAACAACCAATCAATCACTGTGTAACTAATTGAAACAGCACTAACCAGAGCCATAGATCAGTAAATATAAAGAAAAGGATGACTAAATACCTGCGAGGTGGGCTAGTTAGACACACAAAACTGTGCTTTGATAAAGCAGTGTAGACTGTGAGTAGTATCATATTGCGGATTGCCATAGCGGTGAACGCACTTTAAAAACTTCATTTTTCCCTCCCTTTTCTATTTAAATTCTTTTTTTTTTTTAAATTACAAATAAGTATTTTCACATTTTTTGGGGTTTTAGATTACAAAGAAAACAGAATAAATATCCTGTATTATTTTTATCAAATGGACCAACCAAAAGGTATACACCATACTTAGATGCCAGAACTAGAGGTTATGACGTGGCCATGTATTTCGCTCTATCTGAAGGATTATTGGTGAGTATTTATTCGCAGAATCTAATGGCGCAAAGATTCCCACAGACTTGCTGAATATGACAATTCTTGAAGACAAAACTGAACAGCAAAACACATGCAATATTTTCTAAAAAAGCTACTAATCATCTGTTGGAATTTGAAATAACAGTGTTGAAACCAAGGCGACCTTCATTTTTCTACTTTATTTGCAGGGTGTTGATCTTCAGTCTGAATGCCTATTATCGGATTTAGGAGTAATTAAAAGAGTACGTGATAAAGGCTTAGTATTATTTGTATGGGGTGAAGACAACAATGATAGAGAAACCATTAGTACATTAAGAAAACATGGAGTACACGGCATTATATATGATAGGTAAGTAAGGTTTTTTATGCTTTTGGGGAGTGATCAAGTCAATCTGATTAAAACACAGATCCTATTTCGTTTCGTTTTTATAGTTCAAAATTTCGTTTTACTTGTCTTTACTACACTAGGATCTGGAAGAGATGTTATGTAACAGACGTTCTACTTGATGTGAGGAATTAGCCAATGAAACGGTCTGTTACGGCGATTTCTGTGGGAACTGTGGGTAAACCACTAGAAACGTCAACGCCGATTGATTAATCAATGTCTGACGTCATAGGGTCAAAAGCCACTCGTTTGAATCATGATGTTAACCCTTACTATAACTTGTCAGAACTTCATGTAGTGTAGGCCATCGAAAGTATAAAAAACGAAACGAAATATAGATCTGTATTTTAATCAGATTGTGATCAAGTGATCAAATGTGTGCGCTTTAGATCAAAAGGTCTGTTATCGATTCAAGTGCTGTGAATTCGATCCCATACTTGTAAATGACAAGGAGTATGGTCCGCTTGTCTAACAAACCGGTATTTTATCCTCCCATTGCTAAAGACTCCTGACCCCAAATGATTGAGATATATATTAGTCCCAAAGTGACTTAATTTGTGTTGAGTGTATGGGCTGGGGAGATAATAATCTGAAACACTGCTTTGCCATAAAGTAAATGGTTAATGCAGCTGAGTAAATGCTTGTATCCATTGCTTTTATAAATGTGTCCTAATTTTGCATTACAAAGTTCAAAATGCTCTGTTAAGTATCAAGTTCAGAATAACCTCAAAACAGTGCATTATTAAGTTCAGAATAACAGTTTTACCTCATAAACAGAACAATTCTGCAACTAAAATTTGACTGACAGGATCAAATGAAATTGACATTGAAGCTTTATATTAATTGAGAAAGTGGACAGAATCACCCCTATACTTACACAAATGTTATAATTTTGTCTAGGATTGATTTCTACAAAACAGATAAAAACAAATATTTTGAAGCTGTGGAGGCAAATGGATTACCAGAAATGGAGACAGGAGAGTCTTCTACATCATGAAACCAATTCCTATAATATGCTATGCTTTTTGAGATTATCATTTAAAGAATCTTTTTTCTTTTTGTAATTATCTAGTAACACATTCAATTTGATGCCATAAATATTCCTTTAAATTTTACGTTAATTATCAGTATTTATTAATATAACTGTTATAATTCTTTTGTAAAGGGCTGTGCCATTAACTGTTACGTTTTTGTAAAGGCCTCTGCCATTAACTGTATTTGTATTCTTTTTCTATTATTTATATTTATCTGTTTTGTGCATTGTCTGTTAGTAACAAACCACAATTTACATCTGTAGTTCAATCTGATTATCAAAGCATTTAGTATTTCATTTTGTATATACAGCATGCATTTCTTGTTATATTTAATTTGATCATTTGTTGTCCCCCACCTTTCGAAGAAAGCAGGGGACTATTAAAATGCGTTTGTCCATCTGTCCGTCTGTCACACTTTTTGGGACACAATAACTCTCTTTCTAATTGAGCTAGAATGTTCAAACTTGATGTATGTGTTTATTAGGTCAATACCTTGATGGAGTTCAAAGATGAGCATTTTCCGCTTATGGTAAGCAGAGATAAGCAATTTGATTGGTTGATGCTTTTGGACACAATGACTTTAGTTCTGATTAAGTGAGAGTGATCAAACTTGGTGTATAGTTTCATTACATCAATACCTTGACTATTTTCTGCTCAGACTAAACAGAGCGATAAGCAATTTGATTGGCCAAGATTTTGGAACACAATAACTCTCCTTCTAATTGGTGTAGGTGTTTATTGGGTGAATCCCTTGATGGAGTTTGATGATGAACATTGTCTGCTTACAGTAGGCAGAGATAAGCAATCTGATTGGTTGATGCTTTAGGGGCACGATAACTTTGGTTATAATGAAGTGAGAGCGATGAAACTCTGAATATAGATTCATTATATCATTACCTTGACTAAGTTCGATTGTGCGAATTTTCTGGGCTAAGGAGCGATAAGCAATTTGATTGGTCAATACTTTGGAACATAAATACTCTGCTTTTAATTGAGGTAGAATGTTTAAACCTGATGTAGATGTTCATTAGGTGAATGTCTTGACTGATTTCAATGATTAACATTTCAAACTAAAGCTAAGCAGAGCTAATCAATTTCATTGGTCAATGCTTTGGGACAAGATAATCTTGATTCTATCTGATAGAGAGTGATGAAACTTAGTGTGTAGTTTGATTGCTCAATACTTTTGAAAAAAATGAATGTGCGTTTAATTAATATGTGTCAGCTATTTATTTTGGGATTTCGACGGGGGACATCAGCGTCACTGTTGGCTTGTTGATTTTGGTTAACTATATGGCCAAGTTGGAACCCATGCAATTGATACAGTTTACTTTTGTAACTTGAACTAGCTTATTTTCATTTCTGTGAATTTGGGAAATTCTACTCCTATTCTGTACATCTGTTATGTCTTGAAGCATTTCTGAGGTTATCTCATCCGTATGGATTTTTAAATAGATTTAATTAAATCAGGGAATTGTTTTGTTTTTTGGTGTGAATATTATTTAGAATTTTAAATCTGATGTGTTATCGAATATTTATTCTGAGACGTAATGAAAATGCACCACTTTTATAAATGGATGAATATGAATTTTGTTTATGAGATATACTTTAATCTTACAATTCTGAATGTAACATCAGATCACGACCATAATATGTGAGAATGATGTTTTCACGATTGTGAAAAGTCACCATAGATAAATTCTCTTTAACACAAAAAACTGAATTTGACAGAATGAGAATGTTAAAAAAAACAACACAATGACCTACAATTCAGTTAAATCGGTGGTGCATTTTCATAGCCATCTCAGTATATTGTATGTTTTAGTTGCCATATTTTATTTTTAACAGAACCTATATATTCTTATATTATGTTTGTTCACTATATGTATTATACTAGGCCATAATAAATGTTAAATGGACAGGAATTTAAATAATTGAGTGTAGTGTTTATAATCACTAATGTCATTTGAGGGATGTTTATATATATAATTAATCCCTTGCAAACTGCAATATTGTGAAAATTGGATCACTAAAGAAAATTGATCAATTCCGTTCAGTATTTACAAAGATATGATGAATTGAATATTTGTCAGCCTAAAGCCAAGCTCACAACCTGCTGTACTTGTTTTGACACGCATAGATCATAGGGTTTGGTAGCTTGCAGCTCAGTTGCAAGAAACCGGCTGAAAGTTTTGTATGTGCAGGACCATGAGTCTCTAGGCCAGTCTGCGATCTTCTACGGTGCCGAACACACACAAGTCACGCGTAAGACTCCCACATGGCTTTACTAAAATCCCCCCCCATAGACTGTCCATAGTAGTACGTACGGCAGGTTGTGAGCTAGACTTAAGGCATCCTCTGCAAATGATTTAAATGGGAAATGGTCAAGTCAAAACTACAAGTAGAGTTTATCTACCGTTGATATTTTGATTTCTTAATTAAATGTTAAATAATCAATTTGAGTACAACTTAAGCTGAGAAAAATTAGATATTTTCCAAAAAATAGAATGACATCAGAGACTTTAAAGGACCTAAGTCCGTAACTCAAAATCCTCCAAAATCTTCTACATCGAAAACACGAATTATTGGTCAATTTAAATCAACATTGATGATGTAAACTTACCGGGAAAAGATGAGCTTCTGATATCCGATATTTAAGATAAAATAATTTTTTTAACATTGGTACACGAATCGTGTACCATAATGCGCTTCAGCCCCAGTTGTATTGAGAGACTCGAGGGACGAGGCTAGACACATTGCACCAAATCAAATGGAGTTATGTAGACTAGAATAACTAGACGCTAGAAATTTGCACTCGATTGAGATTGCTGACTTATTTCGCCGAACATAACTGATTTGAAATTGGAGTAAAAACGGAAACCATTAAATGTAAATCAGTTTATATACATTCATATTACAATATTATATGCGCTGCGACCCACTTTTGTGAATTTCTAGGTCCCAAATGTTAGCGATTTAGCTCCTTTAAGTTAGGTTATACTTATCTGTTGAGGTTTTGGTGAAAGAATGTTTTTTTGTAGAATTCTAGATACTTTGTTATTTATATATGTTAATATTTATTAGATGTTTTATGATGCAAATTTATAGATCTGTTTGAAATAATTTTTTAAGGTGTTTCCATTTACATGTACCTGATTAAAATGAAGTTAATTGTCAACAGATGCACCTTGAATTCAAAAACAAACAAAAGTTGTTAATTGTTATATATATTGTTTCTTGGTGCCTTAATAATACTCACTTGACACCTGTCAACCAATATGTAAAGTACAATATTTACTTATTATTGTAAATATATTTCATTGATATTCAATGAATAAACTTTGTACAAAGTATCATTCTTTTATTATGATAGATATTGAAGAGCTTCTTTTCCAAAATGCAATAAACACCATTTGAATTTTCATTATCATTTTTATATTTCTTATTTTAAAAAGTATTGTTACAAAGTATTGTTTTTAGATAAATCAAATTTAAGTTTATCATCCTGTCTTTGGTATTTTTTTTAAAAAAAACTCCCCATCAGTAATGTCATGGAATTTATCGCATTTTGGTAAAGAGCTCTTTAAAAATTGCATGAATCAATCTTAATTATTTTTATTGAAATATATAAATATTGTATGAGACAAAGTATGCAACTTGAAAACCTCTTTCCTTTTGTCAAATGTTATTTATTCATAGTGCTCGTAATATTATTAAGTACTTGTGGTTATTTGTAATTAAATAAAATAATTTTCCTTTAACAAATCTGTTTTATTTCTTATTTATTAGCATCCTTGATTAGTTTTCGAATCTGGGTGTGGCAATTTGCTGTGTCTTGCCACAGAATACAATAAACCAGTGTTACAAAAGACAGTAAAATAAGAATAAAAGTTTTAATAAACTTTCTTCAAACCGAGATACCGTAGTAAAATTTATTATGGTCTTTCAACCACCCTTTTAATGGAGCTAAACCTATAATTCAATATTTTCCATAATATTTGAAATTAAAAATACGAATTAGAATTCAATATTTGTTCATTTTAATCAGTATTGATGTTGTATCTTGCCATGAAAATATGGAATTATGATACCAAATATAAGACACAATGAACATTTTATAATCTGTACACAAGTCCGGTATTTATGGTTCTGGGTGCCATTTGCAATGAACAAAGAAAAACATATTCTACAAGACAATGCGGAAGTAATTAGTAATGGCTGATTCATAAGCGACAATAAAATTATAAAAAAAAAACGTCCAGGAGGAAGCAACCATCGTTCAATTTTGACTGCAGGTTTACATTTCACCGAACATAATTAATTATTATAAATTACACTTTTTTCTTAAATAAATATAAATCGCTTTACTTTATTTTACTTTATATACATTGATATTACATTAATAGTCCAATATTTCAGTCTAAATAGGTTCCGTCCAAAGGATAAAACCATACGCCCTGTAAAAAAAAAAAAAAAAAAAAATGCTTTAAAAATTGTATCACTTTTTGAAAATTAATTTCTTAGAATAAATATGACCAAAATTGGTGCTAATCATGAATCCATAATTTATTATATTTTACCATGGACCTTATAATACAAGGTCCATGATTTTACATCTTCCAAACTAATAGGCTATCGGTATGACGATAAAATGAATTCGCGCGAAGTTGATCGTAGCCAGTCATTGGCAATCAGATGTGTCGCCCCTTATTACGGATACTAAAGCCCAATCAGCGACAGCAATCTGTTGCGTACAGTTTGCCTTATTTGAGTAAGCAGTTGTCAGTTGATTACAAAATAAACCCTGGCTCTGATCTCGCAAACATCAACCCGTCCTTTATTGTTGTGGCACATGTGCGCCAGATGTAAATATAACCTTTGACCTTCCTCGGAAATGGGAGTCTCCCATGTTCTGATTGGCTTAGAATGTGCCTCATTCCCACGTGTGCTGATGAAGCCGACTGCCACACAAAGCAAGTGTTTATATGAAGCCGGTGACAAAAGCTACCATAAATCACCTTAATTTGGCGACCAGCATCGGGAAAAATGTCCGGTTTTAAACTGGGAATTGTTCGCCTTGGAAGAGCTGCAGGAAAGGTAGGTATATTTTTAGCATGGAATGTATTGCAAGAAATTGGCTGTTGATATCGATCGCCTTCACTCCAGCAAGTGGGAGAAATAATACTATGTGAAACTAGCCTACATAATACTTTACATGTATATTCTCGTTCACGGAACAAAGATAACCAAACAGTGTTTGAAGACAAGGCATTATTAGTTGATATTTTTGGGGGGTTATGTATATTCTGTTGTTTTCTATGGTGTATATAAGATATAATACCTCGTTAGATAGTGAAAATAGAGCACCGTTGATTAATTAATAACACTAATCCGATGGAGGAAGATCGCTGCCAAAACAATGAGATTAGAATGAAAACCATATCTGTTCAACTGGATTGTTTTCCAGTGAAAATATATACTGGTGTTAATATCTTCTTAAAGGTTAAAAAGGATCTTCTTTATTCAGAGTAGAATTAGTGTAATATTAACTCCTATCACCATTGCTGTGATTCAGTTTGAATTTTAATTGCATTTATCCCAGTTACCATTAGGACACTGAGCACAGCAAGATGGTTTTAATTTAATTGGGTTCTTTCTGTTCATGAGGTCAATTTTGTGAATGATTTTTTTGTTAAATCTATTTTAACCTGTAATATCCAACAAAATGTAGGTTTCTACTACATGATTTAAGTAAAGGGTGGGGGTATGTGGTGGGGTGCAACCAAAGTGTTGCAGAGCGTAGCATTTTTTGTTCATGTTAAAAGTTTCAATCTTAAAATAATAACTACATATTAGTCATCCCAATGATCGGCCTGTTGGCATTGCATGTACTGATTCTTATATAGAATCCCTTTCACCTAAAAATAAACGCACGAAAAATCCCACTGTTAAGAATTGCCTAGGAAAGCATGGTAATTAAGAACCCTGGAGGCAAATAAATAATTGAAAATACAACCAATGAATGGACAGGGACAGTATAATGATAGTACTGTAATAGGCATTCCTGTTGTTTTGAAGACATGTATATGTATCCACAAAAAAAATATGCCACTAGAAAAGGGACTGCATACTCCTGCAACCCCCTTTGTATCTGCACATATAGACACTCTTTTACATTCTTCTGGATTGAGAATTGAGCATATACCATTTAGCTGGCTAGTAGCTAAGTATAGATCAATTTTTATTATTCAGGTGCAATGAAAGGTGTTTATTGTACAATTTAAAGATCATTTAGTATGAATCTCTTTTAATAGGGTATTTTACAGACATTTGGAGAGAATAAAATGGTTTTATAGGTGCATGTAATATTATCACTTAGTAATGCATTCCATAGTTGTTAAGGACCATGCTGCAGATAACATTTGTGTGTGTAATGTTAGATCCCATATTTTCCATGTCTTGAGTACATCCACCAGGTATATGTAATGCCATAGGTCACAATGTGTTTTACCAAATTTGTTCTCTTCTCCCACATGAAAACTGTTGCACAAATGTTGTGGGGACTAAGGTACACATACAAAAGGCACTCAGTGATACAATATGCAGTTAACGATCAGCCAAAGGACCCAAACCAAAAGTGGACTCTTTAAATTGGTTATTCTGATTCACAAAATACAACAGGTTCAGTGTTGATATACTTTACTATGAACATCAAATACAGACTGTGTAAATAATAAGCAAACAAAAATATAGTATTTTAGACATGACAAAACCTAATCCAAATTGAATATTTCAATGTACGGTACAGATTAATTCGCAATCCTGTTATGCAAATACTTAATTGACAGCAATAAAGCCTAGGACAGATGAGCGTCTCGAGAGCGTATGCCACTGTGCGAGTAAATTACGTTGATCATGTGACTCATGTGGAAGCCATTTGGAGATCATGGGATATCAATGATATCTCGTATTGGCCTATGAAAATGGTTCGTTCGACAATATACACTGGACACGGAGAGACAAGCAGATTTTTCGGCGAATCAATTGCTAGTGTAAAATATTTCGGCCGAAAATATCTAACATGCTAGATATGGGCTGTCAATCACGCGATTGGTTCACCAAGCAAAAGGGCACACGTGTGATTTTTTCTAGCGATTTTAAAAATCGGTGCAATTGGGCGAAAAAATATGCTTGTCTGTCCTAGGCATTAACGACTAGCTCAAATTGGACGTGTACAACATACCCAGAATCGAGTGGATAAGCTAATCTTACTTTTAAAATAATAACAAGATACTATGTGTGAAATCTTAACACCATCAACTAAATGTTTATTAATTGTTAATGATTTGTTTATTTAATCAAGTAGGTGTTAAATAATCTTATCTGTCCTATACTGATTAATCAGTGAACAATGATTAGATTACACATTTCTTGGATGATGTCATTTTTTTTTGTGCCCAGCATTTTTAGATACCCACATTGAAATGTTGCTGTAAATGTTGTCACTCCTTTATGTACGAAAGCCCAGAAGGCAAATTCCAAATTCCAAATGCGAAATTCCAAATTCCAAATTCATGTCTTACCAATCAAATGAATCAAATAGCAAATTGGCAGCCCCCCCTCAATTAAACAAATTAGAATTTAAATAAATTGTAATTTTAGACAACTAATTACTGTAATTAGTGCTATTTTACCTATCTGATGCCTGGATCGGATAAATTATTAGGGGGTTGGATGGCCGAATGGTTAGCACGCGCGCGCTGTATCATACAGTCTGTCATTGAATCAACTGGCGGAGTTTCGAATCCCCGGTTGTACATGACAAGGAGTAGGGTCGCCTGTCCAACCTCGTGGGTTTTCTCCGGGTCCTCCGGTTTCCTCCCACTGCTAAAGACCTCTACGCGCAAGCAAATTATTGAAATTAGGGGATAAATTATTAGGGGGGGGGGGGGTTGGATGGCCGAATGGTTAGCATGCGCGCGCTGTATCATACGGTCTGTCATTGAATCAACTGGCGGAGTTTCGAATCCCCGGTTGTACATGACAAGGAGTAGGGTCACCTGTCCAACCTCATGGGTTTTCTCCGGGTCCTCCGGTTTCCTCCCACTGCTAAAGACCTCTACGCGCAAGCGAATTATTGAAATAAAATTGAACCATGTGTTAGTCCCGAAATGACTTAGTTTGTGTCGAGTGGACGTTAAACCCCATTTCTCTCTCTCTCTCTCCAAATTATTAGATTTGAAATTGCAAATTCCAAATGTGAAATTGCAAATTGCAAATTCGACATAATCACGTGACATTACAATCATCATGGCTGCTGCAGAGACGATAATACGCCCACAGCAGCTAAATCGTCCGGGCAGTCAACAAGAGTTTCGCATATTTTTACTTTTTTGCAGTAATGAAACATTTATAATACACTAAAATCTGATTAAGAGTAACAACTCGTTAAGTAATTATCAGAAAATCATTAGAATTTGTTTGATTTTTATAAAGTTCTGCCCCATGCTAACGTTTAGTATACGAAACATTTAATATCATGGATTTATCTGTTCAAGTTATCAAAATTCAATGAAAATCAATATACTTGTTCGTCTTATGACCTTAAACTCTGCAGTATCAATCTGAAGTCAAGCGGATGATAACTTTAACCTCCAGAACGTCACAAGATTTTGCAAAGTGATCAAGGGCCATAACTTTGGCAGTAATTATCGGAAATCATTGAAAATCAATAGACTTTTTTCTTTCATGACCTTAAACACTGTGTATAAATCAAAAGTCAATCGGATATTCACTTTAGCCTCCAGAGCATCCACAAGATTTTTTGATGTGATCAAGGGCCATAACTCTGGCAGTAATTATTGGAAATCCCTGAAAATCAATAGGCTTCTTTGTCTCATGACCTTAAACACTGTGTATAAATTTTGGTCAATCGGATATTAACTTTCGCCGGACAGACAGGCAGGCGGACGGACGGGGGCGATGACAATATACAACCACATTATACGATCGCATTTGGAATTTGGAATTTCGCATTTGGAATTTGGAATGTGTCTTCTGGGCTTTCGTATATAGGTAAACTAGCACCAATTAGTTGTGTAAAATTACAATTTATTTAAATTCTAATTTGTTTAATTGAGGGGAGATGCCAATTTGCTTTTTTATTGGTAAAACATGAATTTGGAATTTCGCATTTGGAATTTGGAATGAGCCTTCTGGGCTTTCTTATTTATGGTGTCCACAATTACTTGTGGAGTTCTAAAGGCTAAAGTTAATATCCTATTGACTTTAGATTTATACACAGTGTTAAAGGTCATGGGACTGATTTTCTATGATTTCCAATAATTTCTGCTAGTTGCCCTTGATCATAAACTGTAAATTTATACTTGTTTAAAGTCTTGTGACGAAGAAGATTATAGATTTCCGATAAATTGAACAGCTAAATTAATGATATTGAATGTTAAGTATACTGCATTGGACAGAACTAGAAAAAATTCAGTTTTTAGTGTGTTGTAAATGTTTTCGTTACTGACAAAAAAACAAATATGTGACAACCCTTGTTGGCTGCTGAAAGACTTTGCTGCTGTATGTTTTGTTGTCTGACAACCTGTCTTTGATATGGATGTTGCTTAATTAATTGAATGTTGAGGGTAACAAATTTTGAAAAGATTGTCTAATGATATATACCTTGAAAATCTTGTATTTCACCTGTGTTATTGATTTTTATATGCCCACATTTTCATGTGGATGTCGTGCCGTCACCCCCATCTGTCCATGTGTGTCCACGTCCTTTCCCATTTTGTTTGTGGACACTCTACATGTCACAATTTTTATCAAATTTTAACAAAACTTATAGGTTGATATCCCAAAAACCTTGGTTCCTTTCGATATATTGGCATGCATCGGAATGTATCGGACTGTAACTTCATGGATTATGGCCCTGATTGTACGAAAAATCATAATTTTAGCTTGTGCACCCCTCAAGGTCTGAATTTTTATTTGATTTTTAAAACTGTTCAAATATCACCGTTACACCATAATTTTGGTTGAGTTCAAATTTCGTAAAAATAGGACCAGGACTGAAAAATTGCTGCTCC